TTTATTTCAAAGTGTGTGTGTGCGTGTGTGTAGATAAACTTGCACACCAAACTGGAAGGATATATACCAAAGTGTAGGAATAAATAAAGAGTAGTGAGGAGAGAAAGACTTTATTTACTTTCTCTTTCTTTTTTTTTTTTTTTTTTTTTGAGACAGAGTCTCACTCTGTTGCCCAGGCTGGAGTGCAGTGGCGCCATCTCGGCTCACTGCAACCTCCACTTGCTGAGTTCAAGTGATTCTTCTGCCTCAGCCTCCTGAGTAGCCGGGACTACAGGTGCACACCACCACATACAGGTAATTTTTGTATTTTTAGTAGAGACAGGGTTTCACCTTATTTGCCAGGCAGGTCTTGAAATCCTGACCTCATGGTCCTCCTGCCTCAGCCTCCCAAAGTGCTGGGATTACACGCGTGAGCCACTGTGCCCAGCCGATTACTTTCTGTCACGCGCGTCCGTGTGAAGAGACCACTAAACAGGCTTTGTGTGAGCAATAAAGCTTTTTAATCACCTAGGTGCAGGCGGGCTGAGTCCGAAAAGAGAGTCAACGAAGGGAGATTGGGGTGGGGCCATTTTATAGGATTTGGGAGGTAGTGGAAAATTATAGTCAAAGGGGTTTGTTCTCTGGTGGGCATGGGCGGGGGTCACAAGGTGCTCAGTGATGGAGCTTCTGAGCCAGGAGAAGGAATTTCACAAGGTAATGTCATCAGTTAAGAAAAGAACTGGCCATTTTCACTTCTTTTGTGATTCTTCACTTGCTTCAGGCCGTCTGGATGTATACATGCAGGCTTGGGTTCAGAGGCCTGACACTTTCTATACTTCTATATATTGTTTGATTTTTTTCAAGGAGCATGTGCATTGAATATGAATGTATATGGACAATTATGCAGGTTCAAAGCTAAAGTGATTCTGCGTGTTTTCCTTTTCTTTCTATGCCGTGAAAGAGCCCAAATGCGGTTGTATGGTGTTATGTATGAGAGTCAGGATCTTACACTGATTTGTAGTGAGGAAATCCACTGGTTCTCTGCTCCATGGTGTTGTTGCAGAAGGGAAGTTTATGAGTCAAATCACTCCACTCTTGTGCCTTAACGTCACCACAGAGCTGACCAAAAGTCTGACTCATGTTTCTTTTTATATTGTTAGATTTCCTTTCTCTGCTTGGTTTTGAGCATATGTCACCAGAACTCATGGAATTTAAATCCCCAAATCTAGAATTAATATTTCATGACTGTAACAAGGTATCTGTCCCACACTTTGGAATTCTGGACTTTGGGTCTTGATTTACCCTGGTACTTATTAGAATCTTTTTGAGACCTTGGCAATGAAATGATTGACTTTGAGCCTTGGTATCTTCATCTGTATCATGAAGATGTTAATAATATTAATCCCACAGTATTATTGCCAAGATCAAATGGGATAACCTATATGAAAGCCTTTGAAAATTATAAGCAATATACAAATAAATATAACATACTATTATTTTATTAGTCCTAGTAACAAAAAGATACTTAATTCTCACTGACTACAGGGTTAGAGAATGAAGATGCCCTGCCTTACTTCTCCTTTCTATGCCGTGCAAAATGTTCACCCAACTCCATCCCACAAAAAAAGATTTGCTTGGCAGTACAATTTTGATTGCTTGATGTTTCTATAGTGGTGTACCAAGAATCATAGGCAAGACAAGGAACTTGTAGCAAAATATTTCCTTGTTCTGTCCCCAGCCCAGATTTGTCCCCAGCAATACCAGGTTATTTATACCTTTTCTTCCCTTTATACTTGTCTCCTAGGAGAGCCAGGGCCCATGGCCTGTGCAGTGTTTTATTAAAGGGTCTTCCAGTAGGATTGTAATGGTTTTAAAAGATGATCACAAATTCTTTGACATTTCTCCCATTGCGTGTGGGATCTATATTCCCTTCCTTTGAATCTGGGTGGATTCGTGACTGCTTTGACTGATAGAGTATGGCAGAAGTGTTGCTCTGTGAATTTCAAGCCTAAGTTACAGAAGACCATGCAGCCTGTGCCTTGTTAACTAGGACATTTGTTTATAGATTCTTGTCATCATAAAAAGTCCAGCTACCCTGAGCCACTGTGCTAGAGAGGCAATGTGTAGATGCTGTGATAGTAATCCCTGTTTAGCCTGGTCTTCTAGCCAAGATATCAGAAACACGAGGGAAACCAGCTTGGACCCACCACACCACTCTGCATGCCAGATGAATGCCAAGTGTCCTCCACCAATGCCTCATGGAACAGAATTCTCCACCTGGTCTCTGCTTAAATTCATGACCTACAAAATTGTTTTGGGGTAGCTTGTTACATAATAATTGGTAACCAGAACAGGAACGATAACCCCATTTTAGTTCAACTTTTGGACAGATTACACATAATTATGGGGGTCAATTTATCTTTCTTTTTTCTTTCTTTGCAGTGAATTTTTTTTTTTTTACAGAGTCTTGCTTTGTTGACCAGGTTGGAGTGCAGTGGTGCCATCTTGGCTCACTGTAGCCTCAACTTCTTGGGCTCAAGCAATCCTCCCACCTCAGCTTCCCAAGTAGTTGGGACTACAGGTGCGTGTCACTATGCTTGGCTAATTTTTGGTTTATTTTTTGTAGAGATGACATCTCACTCTGTTGCCTGGTCTCAAACTCCTGGGCTCAAGTGATCCTCCCATTATGGACCCCAAAGTGCTGGGATTGTAACCATGAGCCACGATGCCTGGCCTTCCTACAGCACTCAGTATTCCAAGAGGTCTCCCATCCAAGCACTAACCAGGCCCAACTCTGCTTAGTTTCTGAAATCAGATAAGTTCCTTTTATTAAAAAAGAAAATAGAGCTTACTGACTATTTTTGATAACTAGGTATTTAGGTAAAGACTTCCGAAGAGATATCCTAAGCTTGAACTCTTACCCCAAATAGGGAGCACCAGAGCTTCTTTGCTGTCATCTTGCCTGAGAAAATTCCTTGCACTGGGGCTACTGAGTCAACAACATTCTTCATAAAAAGAATTTTCCTTTGGGAGTCTGAAGCCGGTGGATAATTGAGGCCAGGAGTTTGAGACCAGCCTGGCCACTTGGTGAAACTCTGTCTCTATAAAAAAATACAGCCGGGCGCGGTGGCTCACACCTGTAATCCCAGCACTTTGGGAGGCCGAGGCGGGCGGATCACAAGGTCAGGAGATCGAGACCATGGTGAAACCCTGTCTCTACTAAAAATAGAAAAAATTAGCCGGGCGCAGTGGTGGGCGCCTGTAGTCCCAGCTACTCGGGAGGCTGAGGCAGGAGAATGGCGTGAACCCGGGAGGCGGAGCTTGCAGTGAGCCGAGATTGCGCCACTGCACTCCAGCCTGGGAGAGGAAGCCAGACTCCGTCTCAAAAAAAAAAAAAAAAAAAAAAAAAAAAATACAAAAGTTAGCCAGGTGTAGTGGCAGGTGCCTGTAGTCCCAGATACTCAGGAGGTTGAACCTGGGAGAGGGAGGTTGCAGTGAGCCAAGATTGTGCCATTGCACTCCAGCCTGGGTGACAGAGCAAGACTCTGTCTCAAAAAAAAAGAAAAAAAAAGAATTTGGTAAGAATATTCATAGGTACTCACCATTTCTCTTAGGTAAAGAGCTAAGAGTGGAATTCCTGGGTTATGGGATAGATATATGTTTAACTTGGCAGGAAATTGCTAATTTGTCAAAGTATTTATATTGTTTTACACCTCCATTAGGAAAGTATGAGTGATCATTCCTCATCTCACCAACATTTGGTATTGTCAGGTGGGTTTTTTTTTTTTTTCATTTAATTTTGGTGAATTCTAATTTATCTGTTTTGTTTTGTTGTTGTTCTTGTTGTTGTTGTTGCTGCTGCTGCTGGTGTTTTTGGTATTGTATCTTAGAAATTGTTGACTAATCCAAAGTCACAAAGATTTACACCTGTGTTTTCTTCCAAGCGTTTTATAGCTTTAGCTCTTACTTTTAGGTGTATGATCCCCTTTGAGTTAACTTTTGTACATGATGTGAAGAAATGGTCCAAACTGATTCTTCTGCATGTGGATATCCAGATGTCCTAGGATCTGTTGTAAAGACGGTTCTTTCCTTACTGAGTTGCCTTGATCCTTTTGTGGAAAATCAGTTGACCATAAATGTATGGATTGATTTCTGGACTCTCAATTCGACAGATGTGTATGCCTATCCTTATGCATAGTTTTAATTGTGGTAATTCACTGTAGTCTTAATTGTGGCAATTCATCATAGTCTTAATTTGCATTTAATTGTATTTTCCTGATGACTAATAATTGCCCTAGAAAGTTCCTTCTTACCCATGCCAGTCAATCCCTTTCCTCAGCCCCATTCCCCCAGAGCTAGCCACTGTTTTGATTAGTTTCCACTGTAGATGAGTTTTAACCTGTTCAGGACCATTATATAAAAGGATTCACATAGTGTACACTTTTTAGTATGGGCTTCTTTCACTCAGCCTGTTTTTGAGATTTATCCATGTATGGTGTATATCATAGTTTGTTCCTTTCAGAAGAAATTTTTACCACAAAAATTTTCAAATTTATCTCAACTTATTTCTTTTTATTTAATTTGTATGTGAAAAATTTTAGCCTGTTTTTTACATTTCTCATCCAATTGCAGATTATTTTAAATTTACAGTTTTAGGTTTGCCCAGTTTTGGATCTCTAACGTTTTGCTTATTTCTGGTTTTTGTCAAGCTCAGGCACTTAACTTCTGCTAGTCCCTTGAAGGCTGTACCACAGTCAAGGGCCATTTTCTTCCTTCTTTTAAAGCTCACATACATTGCCATTTTTTTATTAGCTGACGTGTGTATTTATCCAAACATCTGATTTATTCCAGCTTTAGATTATATTTTTGCATCTGAGTTATTAAAATACACATTTAGTTTACAATACCTACAAGCATTTATCAAAAATTTACTGAAGTTATTCACGGTATTTGGGGGGAAACACTATCTAAAAGGGACCCGTGATTATTTATTTATTTATTTACGGCACTTGATTTTGCAGACGAGTCTGGAAGTGTTAGTTGCAAACGTATGCATTTGCTTCTGTGGCTACAAGAAAGAACAGAAATGCACAAAGAGGAGCAGTGTGAAGAAGAGGCGATGATCCCCAGACCGACCAAAGCCCGCACTCCGCTGCGTCCTGCGCCCAGCGCCTATGTCCCACCACCGTCGCTGCCACCATGCCCGGGAGAAAGGCTGAAGGGGATGCTAAAGGAGATAAAGCCAAGGCGAGGTAGGAACCGCAGAGAAGATCCACAAGGTTGTCTGCTAAACCTGCTCCTGCAAAGCCAGAGCCCAAGCCTAAAAAGGCCTCTGCAAAAAAGAGACAGAAGGTACCTAAAGAGAAAAAGGGAAAAGCTGATGCTGGCAAGGAGGGGAATAACCCTGCAGAAAATAGAGATGCCAAAACAGACTAGGCATGGAAAGCTGAAGGTGCTGGAGATGCCAAGCAAAGTGTGTGCATTTTTGATAACTGTGTACTTCTGGTGACTGTACAGTTTGAAATACCATTTTTTTTTTTTGAGACGGAGTCTTGCTCTGTTGCCCAGGCTGGAGTGCAGTGGCGCAATCTCGGCTCACTGCAAGCTCCGCCTCCCGGGTTCACACCGTTCTGCTGCCTCAGCCTCCCAAGTAGCTGGGACTACAGGCGCCCGCCGCCACACCCGGCTAATTTTTTGCATTTTTAGTAAAGACGATGTTTCACTGTGTTAGCCAGGATGGTCTCGATCTCCTGACCTCGTGATCTGCCCGTCTCGGCCTCCCAAAGTGCTGGGATTACAGGCGTGAGCCACTGCGCCCAGCCTGAAATACTATTTTTTAATCAAGTTTTATCAAAATGCAGATTTTGTTTTGCTTTTTTTTTTTTTTTTTTTTTAAGCTATGTTGTTACTACACAGAACATTTAATTGTTGTTTTGGGGGGAAGGGCCATGTGTCACTAATAGAAAGTCCTCCACGCTGGACTGATGTGGGGAAAACACCTTTTCCTTCTAGTTTTGAGAGACTTCCTCCTGGGCCCCAGGAGGAGGGATTCCCTGACTTTGACACACATGGCCACCTTGGTACAAAAACCTTGTGGTATGAAAAAACAAATTCATTTTGTATGTCCTCTTCTTTCTACCTTTCAGAATAGACTTAAATCCCTTAAACCCAGACATCTTCTAGGAGCTGACCTCCAATAACTGGTTACCAGTGTGTCAGACAATCTGGACTTTCCCCTCAAAAGAGCAGTGGTTCCTGTTTCTAGGTTGGGGATCTTCAGATAAATTCTGTCATTTTCATTTCACTTCCTGAAAGCCAGGGTCGGCTCACGACAAGTTGTTAAACAGCATATGCTAAATGTGAAATGTCAACCCTCACTCTAAACTTTCCCTGTTCAGAGCATCAGAGGAAGACTTCATTGGGTGTTACAGTGGCTTTCTGATTTTTGGTAGTCCATTGAAGAAGGGAGTTTGAAAGTTGTTGTATACTGTTAACGATTGTCTGCCCATGTCCTGCCCAAAACACCACGATTCTTTATGGAAATTATCTTTAATAAAGCTGGATACAGTTTGGCTTGGGGAAAAAAAGAAATGCACAAAGAAGGCAAGGTGAGCTTGTGCTGTTCTGAAGAATAACTTGAAGAAGAGTGAGTTTGTGGGATAGCCAGTCTCCTCGCCTTTTCCACCTTCACTCTTGAATTCTTGATCTCCTCTGGCTCCTGTCTTTTTTGTCCCTTTTTTTCCCCCAAATAATACCTGCCTTGGGCAAAATTATCAAATCAACCCCCCTGCCAGTACTCCCGTTGCTGCCTGATTCTCCTCCTTTATTCCTCTGTGCAAGCCCCCTTATGCTGAACCTCCAACCCTCAGGGTTCAACCAGACAGACAAAAGCAGCAGGAAATATACATTAAGAGAGTGTTTGCACAGAATTGGCTTGTGTGATGGTGGCAGCTCACAAGACACCCTAGAAGAGCAGGCCTGGTCTCTTAGACACCAGCTGAAGTTAACTACAGAGAAATTTCTTCTTCTGCAGAGAAGCCTTAGTTCTGCAATTACAACCTTTCCACAGATTAAATCAGGCCCACTCAGATGATTTAGAATAATCTCTCTTACGTAAAGTCAACTGATTATGGATTTAATTCACATCAACAAATTACCTTCATTGAAACACCTAAATTAGTGTTTGATTGAGGGGACTGTATTCTAGCCAAACTGACACATAAAGCTGACCATCGCACTCTATTTCCTATAGGAGTTGGCTTTCACATACTGGCTCAACTGGTAACTAAAATGTAGCTGATAGAAGCTGAATGCTCAGGAGTAGTTTTATTTTATAAGGAAATCTTCAAGAAACAATATGAAATAAAAATAGTGAAGGTATGTGTGGGGTGGGGTACCTATTCAAAAGGCAAGAACTGCTCACAGGCATGGTCACCCTTCTTCATTGTCCCCTCAATCTCCTGAAATATCAGCCATTCCGAACCTTTTATGTTATCTCCACATAGTCCTCTACCATCCCCACCAATGTACCCACCCAGCAGCTCTTGACCAGCACCTCCAGGTTTCCTCCCATGAAAACACCTTGAGATCTATACCTAACATCTACTTTTAGGCTTCCCCCATCTTCTCAGCCCTGTGCATATATTTAGGGACCACACTTTTCTCTCATATTTAATTTGTCTCCTGTGGAAGTCTTTATGAAGATCAAATTATTCATGTATTCATCCATCAAATGTATGTCTAGGGCAATGGCAGGTGGTGCATATAAAATAAATGGATTCACTTCCTCTGTGTCCTGGGCTTGTTTCATTCTGTCCCTGTGTGCTAGAAGCCCAGGACACAGAGGAAGAAGCAGTGTGTTCTGATTGAGGGATTTCGGAAAGCTGAATAAAGTCCATCAGCTGGTTAAGCAGGATTTTGATGGATGGAGAAGAGCATTTCAGGTTAAGTAGACTACATGAACAAATGCAAGGAGTCCTGAAGATGAAGGCATGATTCAGAGCCTGCTCCTGGATTTGGATGCAGTATGTCGCTGGCTGAAGAGTCACATTTGGGGCACCAGGTTTTCACCAGCCTCACTTCATTTAAATGAGACTGAAGCCTACTGATAATTAGAAGACACTAAGGCTTAGGACAGATTTAGAAGAAGTGGTTAAAAAGGTGGAATATCAGAGAATACAATACCCAAAAGTCAAGGGAGGATGTTGTAAATTATGTTTTGTTGCCACAGACATAAATCTAATGTCTTGTGACTCAGTGCTCAGTTTTCTGTCTTGCTGGGCTGCCCTGTTTGAGTCCTTTGGCTAGAGATAGCAGGCTTTTCTTGGTGTTTTTTCTCCCCCGTGCACAGTGACACAAACTTCTCCAGCACATAGTCCACAAAATCTTTTTTATTTTTATTTATTTATTTTTTGAGACAAGATCTTGCGCTGTCGCCCATGCTGGAGTGCAGTGTCGCAGTCATAGCTCACTGCAGACTTGAACTCATGGATTCAAGCAATTCTCCTGCCTCAGCCTCTCAAGCAGCTGGGACTACAGGTGTGTGCCACCATGCCCAGCCAATTTTTAAATTTTTGGTAGGCACAAGTCTTGCTATGTTGCTCAGGCTCAGGATATCTTTATAAAGTTTTTTCCTTTTTTGTTTTTTTGTGGGGGGAAGACACAGTCTCACTCTGTTACCCAGGTTAGAGTGCAGTGGTGTGATCACAGCTCACTGCAGCCTTGACCTTCTGGGCTCAAGTGATCTTCCTACCTCAGCCTCCTGAGTAGCTGGGACTACGGGTGCATGCCACCGTGCCCAGCTATTTTTATTTTATTTTTTTAAATAAGAGACAAGGACTTGCTATGTTGCCCAGGCTGGTCTTAAACTCCTGGGCTCAAGTGGATCCTCCTGCCTTAGCCTCTCCCAAAGTGCTCGAGTTACAGGTGTGAACTACTGTACCTGACCTTTAAAGTTTAAAATCATTTTTTTTTTTTTTTAGGTATCCTTTACCTGCAATAAAATGTACTCATTTCAAGTGTACAGTCCTATGAATTTTTTCTTTTCTTTTTTTTTTTTTTGAGATGGAGTCTTGCTCTGTCGCCCAGGCTGGAGTGCAGTCGCGCAATCTCGGCTCACTGCAAGCTCCGCCTCCCGGGTTCATGCCATTCTCCTGCCTCAGCCTCCTGAGTAGCTGGGACTACAGGCGCCCATCACCACGCCAGGCTAATTTTTTTGTATTTTTAGTAGGGACAGAGTTTCACCGTGTTAGTCAGGATGGCCTCAATCTCCTGACCTCGCGATCCACCCGCCTTGGCCTCCCAAAGTGCTGGGATTACAGGCGTGAGCCACTGCGCCGGGCTTTTTTTTTTTTTTTTTTTTTTGAGACATAGTCTTACTGTGGTCACTCAGGCTGGAGTGCGGGGGCATGATCATAATTCACTGCAGCCTTGAACTCCTGGGCTCAAGTGATCCTCTCACCTCAGCCTCCTGAGTATCTAGGACTACAGGCTTGTGCCACCATGCCTGGCTAACTTTTTTTTTTTTTTTTTGGTAGATATCAGGGTCTCACTGCATTGCTCATTGTTCAGGCTGCTTTTGAATTCCTGGTTGCAAGTGATCCTCCTTCTTCGGCCTCCCATCTGGAACTATAGGTGTCAGCTAGCATGCCCAGCCTTGAACTTTGAAAAATACATGCAATTATGTAACTATCATTATAAGATACAGAACTTTTTCATCATCAAAAAGTTTTCTTTTTTTTTTTTTCTTTTTTGAGACAAAGTCAACCTCCGTCTCCTGGGTTCAAGCGATTCTCCTGCCTCGGCCTCCCGCGTAGCTGGGATTACAGGCACACACCACTATGCCCAGCTAATTTTTGTATTTTTTAGTAGAGACAGAGTTTCACTGTGTTGGCCAGGCTGGTCTGGATCTCCTGACCTCAAATGATCCACCTGCCTCAGCCTCCCAAAGTGCTGGGATTACAGGTGTGAGCCACCATGCCCAGCCAAAAGTCTTCTTATTTAAGATGTTAATACTACCCACAGTGAACTACAGATTCAATGTGATCCCTATCAAAATCCTAACAATGGCTGGGCATGGTGGCTCACCCCTGTGATCTCAACACTTTGGGAGACCGAGGAGGGAGGATTGCTTGAGGCCAGGAGTTCAAGACCAGCCTGGGCAACATAGTGAGATGCCCCCAGCTCTCAAAAAAAAAAAAAAAAAAAAAAAAAAAAATCTCACAACCTTTCTTGCAGAAATAGGAAAATACATCCTAAGATTCATAAGGAATCTCCAGGGACCCCAAATTGCCAAAACAATCTTGAAAAAGAAGAAGAAAGTTGGACTTCTTACACTTTCCAGTTTCAAAACTTACTACAAAACTATAATAATCAAAATAGCGTGGTTCTGGCCTAAAGAAGGACATATGGATCAGTGGATTCAGAAATAAACCCTCAGATATAGGGTCAAATGATTTTTGACAGTAGTGTCAAGACCATTCAGTAAGGAAAGGATAGTCTTTTTCAACAAATGACGATGGGAAAACTGGATATTCACATGTGAAAAAAAAAAGAAATTGGACCCTTACCTTACACCATATACAAAAATCAAATAAAAATGGATTACAGACCTACATGTAAGAACTAAAACTA